CATTCCTTAAATTTAGCATCATTGCATAGAATATCAAGGAGTGAAATTTGTGCTCAAATAAGAAAGGAAATGCCTTTAACAAGAATGAGGTAGATATTTCTTCCAAACTCATAACATTTTGAAAGAGAACATCTCTATCAAACAATCCATATCCACATTCAATAATCTTTACAAGCTTTTACAAGTTTTCAACAACGTTTTTAAGATTTTTCTTATTTTTAATTTCCTTTTCCCTTTTCCTTTAGATGACAATAATGGATCTATTGTTCCTACTTGTAGTATAAGGGAATAGACTTATATATCACAGATATGATAATATAGAATAATCATGGATACATCACTACAACGACTCCATCACGAGATAACTATGACTGTTAACTAGAAATTGACTGGGGACATCTCGTTCATCCACAAAAAACTACAAATATTTTTCTTAGAACATGATCTTTAGACACTAGACATAAACAAACACTAGGCCAAAGAAAAGTACATTGTCAAACCGTGGCAAAAAAGTAAAGCCTACAAACAACAAAACTATTGTATAAGCATGTAAAACATGTAAAATGTTTTGCGCATGACATGTGGTAAGATAATAGAGGTGAAGGCCATTGCGGTCTATGCAAGCTGAAAACTTATTCCCACAAAAAAATCCAACACATGTCTCCTATCAAATCAGCCTAGATATGTGAGATAACTACCTTGAGAATATTTGGAATATCTTATTCCATGCACGAATGAACCCACTTTCTCTTCTCTACCTATCAGTCCCCTTGATGGAGAGGTAGATCTTTTCTCATTGATTCCTTCCTCGCTTAGGTCCTATTCATATTTCTATTGAAACCCTTCTTAACCGAATCCTAATCTTCACCTCCTCAAATTTGAAGCCTAGACCACCACCACCACCGCATTACATGTATAGAGGAATCTCCAATTTTCTTAACTCCTTCCTTACTTTCTCTACCCTTCTTCTTCAAACCAAACACAACCTTAGTTAGTTAAGTTCTCTCATTTATATTTTAGCCTTTTATTCTATTATTCTTTTAAATTTATTTATTTATTAATTATGGCTTTAAGGCTACATCTGGTGCAACTTAAAATAAGCGCTTCTAGCGCTTATTACGTTTTATAAGCCAAAAGCACCCCCATTTTTTGTTTAGTGAAAAATCCATAGACAAGCTTTTTTTCTATGAAAAAGCCCAATTGGTAAAGCCACAACTGAGTGACTTCTTTCATCTTGTGTTTTAAAGAAGTGTTTATTTGTAATTTCTATCCCATTTTTCCCATTTAAAATGTCTTAATATCAAAAATACCTCATTGAATCTAAAACCCTTATCATATCTTCTTCTCAACATTTCTCTTCCTATTCTCACTTCTCTATGCTCATAATGTTAGTAATATACAATGAAGTATGATTTCCCATTGTTTTACTTGGTCTTTTTCCTTAAAACATTGGTTGAATATCAATTTCCACTATTTTATAATTTTTATCTCTTTTCTTTATTTTTTCTCTTTTTTTATCATTGTTTATTTTGAATGAAAACGCCTCCAATAATGTATTTTTAGATGAATCGGTTATGAATCCTATGTTATTTTGTTTTATACAAACAGCATGCATAGCATAATTGAAACACACTTTCCAATGAAACCATTATTTTTTTTAATGTTATCAAATGTGTATTTTGGTTAATAGTGGCTATTTGATGTCTACGGAATCGACTTGATAATACAAATACTCAAACATGAATTTTAAACACATTATATTAATTACCATAAAAACTGAATAAGATAATTATTTTAGTGTAACCATGTTAAATTAACTATCATGGTTCCACGAGTTCACTATTTTATTTAAGGGATTTATGATAATTATCATGATTTCATTAGTTTTTATCTATCTACAAGTACCCTATATACTATCTACATAGTCATCATAATAACCAACTATCATATGTATTTATCATATATAGAATAATCACTACAAAAAAATCAGTTTTTGGTGACGTTACCTAAACGTCTCCAAAAGCCACCCAAATGTTACAGAAACTTTTTGACGACATATGTGCAAAGATCGTAATCATTTGTGTTACGGAAACTTTCCACGACGTTTACAAAACAATTGGCGATGTTTGACAAATGTCACGAATCAAAGAGTTTTCATGACGTTTATAAACATTGTCGAATGTATTACTTTCTGTGACATTTATAAACGTCGTCAAAAGTGTTACATTCGATGACGCTTATAAACGTCACCCGAACTCACTTTTGGCGACATTTGTCTAAAATGTCAATATATTATGGATTTTGCTTTTCATGACATTTAATTAAGTGTCGCTAAAAGTTTTATAGATGGTTTAATAACCATCCATCATATCGCCTATTTGTGCAATTTGTCCAATAAGGTTTTTATCAACTTATAAGCCCAATAAAACTTTTATCAACCTGTAATTTGAATTCACATTCATACATAATTCAAAATTTAAAAAGAAACTTAAATATTAAAATTTCAATAATCTTTAATCCCAACAATCTTTTTTACAAGAAAATGTTTGATAGTTGTATGTTCAAAAAAAAAAAAAAAAGAAATATACATCATCTAAAAAGAACTTTTTTCTTCCCCTTCACATTCTTCCTCTCCCTCTCTTGACTTGTTTGATGTACATGAGATAATCCTTCCCCTCTCTCGACTGGTTTGATGTGCATGAGATGATCCTTCCCTCTCCTGACTTGTTTTATGTGCATGAGATGCTTGTAATACAAGTTGTTAGGTCTCTTGTAAAAGACAATGAAAATAGAATATTATTTTCATGCCAAAAAATAAAGTTGAGATGGCTTACAAGGTTTACTAGTGAAGCATCATGAGAGGTATAGAGATAATCTCCACCTAAAGTAGGATTGTTTTCCAATCCATGACTCTACACAAAATATATATTTCTAAAATTCAAACAATAACTTATTATTCTAAATGTTAAAGTCACTATAAATAAACAAACTCGGGTTCTTTTGAATTTCATAACGATTATGTTGGTTCCTACTCCTACATGGAAAAAAAACTTGTGCATTAATTAAGAAGAGAGGGTCATAATTTAGAAGTATGATTTATATACCTTCCCAGCCATTGTTGAAATAACAACTTTAATTTTTCACAATGAGTAACTTATGTTTAGTGGTAAAAGGGGTTCTAGGTAGATAGCTAAGTCAAGAATTACCATGCACAGAAGACTTTAGCATTTGATTGTAATATATTAGTATAGAAGACTTGCAACATGTTAGTTCATACTGATGTAGACAATGGTTGTCCATTTCTTGGCTAAACTAGACCTGTTCATGGGCCGGGTGGCCCAACGGGCCGGCCCGGCCCGGCCCGACTCCCGGACGGGCTTGAACAGGAATTTTGGCCCACAGGCTTAATCTTGGGCCAAAAAGCCCAGCCCGCATAAAATTCGAGCCGGGCTCGGGCTTTGCTAAAATAGCCCGGCCCGACTTATAGTTAAACTTAAGTAAATCCGGCCCGACCTATAGTTAAACCTAAGTAAAAACCCTATGTGATGTCTATTTGAATAAATTTTTTGATTTGAGGTCATTGATTCACTTGTAGATCCATTGTTCATTTAAATAGGGGAAAAACATTTAAATTAAAATAGAAAATGTCAGAAAATTTTGAATTTCTTTTATTAGATCGGGCTTCGGGCTCGGGCTCGGGCTTCAGGCTTTTCATCAGGGCCGGGCTCGGGCTCGGGCCTAACAGTTTTCTGTTAATAAAGAGTCAAAGCCCAGCCCGAGCCCGGCCCGGCCCGGCCCATGAATAGGTCTAGGCTAAACCATCTTAGCTGAACTTCTCACATCTTGTTATCTATTGATAGTGGTACAAATTGGTATCCAATTAATTTAAACAACTTACAATGCACTAGGCTCAAGGAATTCCATAAATGACATGTCTAATTCTTAACTATTTTTAGTTTTCATTTTTTAATTTCTATGAGAAAGTAAAGCTTAATAGACTTTGAAGGAATTTCCTTTATTTTTTTAATCTTCCTCTTCTAATTTTGAACCCTAGTTTAAATTTTAAAAGGCTAATCCAATTCCATACACCATCCTATGACTATTTAGCCATCTTGAATTTTTTAACTCTATAGCAATTTGATATGGTATACAATTAATGGAAAGAGGAGCATTGTTTGATAGAAAAATACGACAGAAATAGAAAATTGATGAAATGTTTAAGGTTATTTTAGTGGGGTATTAGCTGAATTTGAATAGTTGTCTTCAAACCGATCAGTAAAACAGCTACCACTCAATCTCTAGCTTGTATTTATATGACTATTGTGGAACAAAATGATTAGTCCCATTGCCAGTAAAACAATTATCAAATTCAGTTAATCCTCTCTAAAATAGATAAAATCAAAAGTTAATCCTTTCTCAAATTATTTGAGAAAGGACTAATTAATTAGTTGAATTTTATCTATGCTTTCTCTAGTTTCTAAGTCTCTAGTTGTCTTCATACCGGCCTATAATTTGCAGAACAAATGCTTCAATCTCAAATATTCTAATTATTTGGCCGTATGTGGTGTTGGCAGAGCGTGTTGTTAACCACTTCGAAACACCAGTTTAGAAATTTATAAATTTTTCCAATCCTCACGTAACCTTAAATAACGTAGTACGTGGTGAGGAAGGGGTCGAACCCACAGGAAAGCGAGGGAAAAATTATTATTTTCTCATTCCGGACAAATAAAAAGAAAATGGAACTGGGGATTGCAGAAAACAAGAAAATAAAATTTATTAATTCTGAAATTAAAGGTTTGGAATTAAACAAGACAATAATCAAAATTCAGAAATAAAAGAATACTAAAATCAACAAAAGAAATAAATAAAAGTGATCCAAAATTCGGATCCAGTGGCGGTAGCTGTAGATTGGCTGGACGACTTGCAGGAACCCCTCTTGACAAGATCTGGGCGTCCTTCCCTTCTTCAGCCCTCGAACCCCTCAAGACACCTTAGCCTTGAACTGGATGAATTCGGATCTGCAAAGCACACAAATGAACATAAATTAAATCTAAAAGATTGCTGAAATAAAAATAGCATGAAAGAAAATAAAATGATGGCTGATCAGATCCAGTGGCGGTAGCTACAGATTGGCTGAACTGCTTGCAGGAATCCCTCCTGACAAGATCTGGGCGTCCTTCTCTTCTATAACCCTTGAACTCCTCAAAAAACCACTGGGTGAATTGACCAACCCCTTCTATAGGGCCCTTGGGGTCCTTTTTATAGAGAAGGGTGGATAAAACTGGGATTAGAGAGAAAGAGGGGGCGACAGCTGGGTTTTTGCAGAAATATGGGTGCCCTACGATTTAGAGTGGAGGGTTAGGATTGTTCTAAGGAGATCCTATGACTGAGAAGAGAAGGAGAGGGCGCCCAATATTTTGTAGGGCTAAGATTTTGGGCACCCAGAATTGGATGGTGGAGATTTAGGTGCCTAGGGTTGAAAGGTGGAGATTAAAAGGAGTGGGTGGCGCCCTAGAGTGAATGGTTGAGATAGAGAGTGAAATAGAAAGCTGAGATCTAGTGGCTAAAGGCTGAATGGCGAGGAGTAGTAGTTAGGTGGTGCCCTAGGGTTAGAATGCACTCCAAAGAGGGTGCCCTAGAATGGAGGGTAGAGATTAGATGTTAGGAAGGGATGGAAGGTGAGGATTTAGCAGTTAGGGGTGGCTAGGGTTTGTTAGAGATGAAAAGAATGAGTGGAGAGGTGCCCTAGGGTTTGCTAGGGAGAGGGGAGTATGCTAATATAGTAGGAGGGGCACCATTCTGGGTTTAGCAGATAGGAGGCATCCTCCTGTGCTCAGTTTTTCATAAAAACACCCCCTCTCTTAACTATAATTCACACCAACTTCCCAAAAATTGCATTTCAGCCTTGAAACTTCCCCAATTTTCCCCAAGATTTGCATAGAGACCCTTAGAGGTCATAATATTGAATTTAACTGGGAAAATGGGACATTTTGACTATTCTAAGCCCTAAAATACCCTTGAAATGATGCCCTTAAGGCATCAAACTACAGAATTATCAGCGTGAAGACAGTTTCTAAGTCCTTTCTAAGTCTCAAATCTGTCTTCAGCTCAAATCAGCCCTTTCTCTAGTTTCTAAGTCTCAAATCTGTCTTTAGTCTCTAGATATCTTTAGTCCTTTCTAAGTCTCTAGTCTCAAATCTAATTATTTAAGACTTGGAACAATCCCTCATTTGATTAATTAATAACCCAACCATATACAATGAATATGTTGGCTGGTTCATAGATTATGTTATTCCATCACCAGATGATTTTTAGATGCCAACAGAGAAAACTTGACACATTTCAGTGATTCATTATTCTTGTTCTTTTTTAGAATTTCTGTACAAGTTTGAAGAGGGATCAATTTCAAGATTATACCTGGACCGAACGAGTGGCAAACAAGGCATCCAGTCCTTGATGGTGCGCTAACAGCTCCATTACGGACTCCAATCGTGCTATTTTTCTTGAAGATCACCCACCTGTCTTCGAAGCATTTGGTTTTCCTTCTGTAACTTCGAATCGCATGAGGTGGCTGTACTACTAGTGGTGCTTTTGGACCCTTTAGTTTCGAAAGCACGCTTTGGGTTCACCCTGAAGCCTAAGCAACAAACATGTAATGGATGATCTTTACCCAAAATCACCACTGCATCATAGGCACCAATGGGCTCGACTTGGGTGCCCTGTTCTGCTTGTTCATCCACATATGCTTTCATCTTTGCCTACAACAATTTCAAATAATATATTTATTTAAAATGGACCATCACAAAACCACACCAAAAATGATTAAATGGATAAAAATAAAAAAATAGTTACAGCAAGGTCCCTCGTTCGAGGGTCACAAAACTCCCCTTAGGAATTTGTATGGGCCTTCCTGAACAGGTCCTCTCTCCTAGGTGGGGTTATATTGTTTCGCCTTCTTTCTTCCGTCTACAACAAACCATTGAGAGTCAATATATAAACTAACAAAATAACCAAAGGTATAAAATGCATTAGCTTTCTCACCATTTCATGGAGATAAGCAGTATAGGATTTCCGATCCATGTGGTGAGGGACCATATGATGTAACTTCACTTCGGTCTTCATTTCACAGTTTGCCTATAACAAAGGCAATTTAGTGATATTAATCAAAAAATTATATAATTACCATATCCTAAAAAGACTTACCAATATTACTTTCAACTTATACCTTGCTCCTTGGCGTTTTCCAATGGTCAAAGAGGTGTTGAAGATCACCACGATCAATATTTCTTTGATGTTGAATTTCCTCTGAGAATGCTTTCTCACGATCAAGAGCATATTTATCAAAATATTTCTTCTTCACGTGACATTGAAAGCATTGTTTGCCAATCAGTGGTGCAGACTGCGATTATAGAACAATCTCTCACTAGCATACCTATGTATGACATCAATTACTGCCTTACTTCCTCAACAGGCCAGTCATAATGATCAAACTCCACGGTTGGAGCTTGATCTGTCTTCCTTTGCTGGACATGTGGCAACACTGTGTTGCCACGCTTCCCTGGCCCTCTTTTTCTACAAGAGGGCCTAGGCGCTTGGGAGGATGAACCTCCAACCTCCTCACTAGCCATTTGTAACCACACCAAAGGTTAAAATAGTTAACACATATGGATTAATTAGATTTATAAACACATATGGATTAATTAGTTAACACATTTGTAACCCTACATGATTATTCAAGATTCCATCTACCATATTGAATTATCATAATAGCTATATGATAATTGGTTTATATGATTGCTCTACTTAGGATGATACTAGTCTCTAATGTATTTTTGTATGCATGGTTCCATATATGATAATTATCATGATATGCATTATGCATTACTTTATTGCAAGATAATTGTTTATGATAATTATTTATAACTGATAATGCATGACAATGCATAACTATCATGACTCCATTTGTATAGAGGTTGCCACTTATTAACAGTTCAAAATGTGTCCTCATTGCATGCTCAAAAAAAATGATGTGAGTTGTGAGTGGCAACACAAATATGAAATGCAAAAAAAGAGGAGGGAAAATACTAATATGCAATTCTTTCCTCTAAGTTGACACCCCTAGAATACTTCAAGAAGCATAATGTTCCTCTTAAGAAAAAAAAAAGCAAAAGAACTAGTGGGTTTTCATAAAACAAGATAGTGCTTATGCAAGTGAGGCTTCCCAAACAACATAAACTCAACCCATTTGCTAAAGAGTGACTATGCATATACCATTTTTATTAGCAGTCCCTAGTTAGTTTCAAAACAACATCAAAGATTTGTACATGAAAATAAATAATTCTTCATCCTAACAAGTATCTCCACATTGAAATGCATTCAAAGTCAAGCAAAACAAGCTATCATAATTACATCCTATCAAAATGCAAGAATGCAAAATTCAGATTTCCCATTGGCATTCCTATCATTGTGAAACATTGCATGTAAAAAAAAAAATAAAAAACTAAGAGGAGGAGTCATGTTTCTTTTTCTAAACCCACATTCAAGATAAAGGAAGAAGGGGAAGAGTGGTTCAAATTATTCATTAACAGTCCACATGCATTAAAACAACATGCTAACATCCCTACAAGTAAATTCATCCACTGACCTGTATAATATTCAATCATGGCTAGATGAAAGAGGATACCCATGCATTCTAAACATAATTCAAGCCTTGGATCCGAAAACAAGAACACTCCTGAAAAGTAATTTAATTCAGCCACCTATTAACAGTTTTATCATTCAAACCATTCCCAAGCACAAAATCAAAAAGAAACCTTCAAGAAGAAACCAAGAGACTAGTCATATTGAAAAGGCAAAGAGGACAAAAAGGTATTAACAACTTGAAAATTATCATAAATAACTACTTGCATATTATGTTTCTCATTTGGAGAATCTTGGATTTCTTCCCATATTTCTAGCTACAAGTGTTTTGGGCTGTTAAAAGGTAAGTATCTATTACCCAAAGGATTCTTGTTTAATATGTGATTTGCTAGTATGATGTGAGACTTTCCATGCACCAAGTCAACATGGGTTTAAGGATGTTTGTATTGATAGGAATGAGATATTCCATTAACATTCATAACTTCAAATCCATAGTGACTTGATGGTTCCCAATTCCTCACCATGATTCATGTTCATCATGTAAATGGCATGTGTATGCTTACTTAGATTGCTTGATTTGTTTATATGGTATGGGGTTTTCTTTTCCAAATGTTAAGTTAGCATGGTTTAAGGTTTGCATGTCAATAGGAATGTGACATTCCATTGGTACTTGGAGCCTTGAATTCTTGATAGTTTAATTGTTGGAATTCCCTTACTAAGCATTTAGCATGGTCATTTATGAATAAAAAGGCATGTTATCTAGGGTAGGCTAAGAACATGACTATGTTAAATTGCAAATTGATGTGAACGATATGATGGTTTACGTTGAATGCTCTTGTGCTGAAATCATGCTTACACACCGCCATTTGAAGTTCATATGTAGTAAGGTATAATAGATAGGATTTGATATGTGCGGAAATGTGACATGACATCTTGTGTGTGAAATTGATAACATGAAAACACAGTGACATGTAGGACTGAATTAGTCACACATTTGAAATTAGTTCCCTTGAAAACCCATTTTGACATGTTTAAGGCTGAAGTTAACTAGAGAATATGCAACCTAGGGAGATTAGAATGAAGCAAAAAAAATGTATATAAAAAACACACAAAAAAAAAAGATAAGATATAGGAAGAATTGAAGAAATGGGAATAAGAGCTTCAGGTAGTTATCTAAGCTAGGTTAGGAAGATGATAGAGAAAAATAATTCTGCACTAGGGTGATTGATCAAACTTGAGGATGTAGGTTCAAAGATGGAAGAATAATTCATTAGGTATAACTTAGGCCCAAGAAAATAATTAGTTAACTAGGATGCTTCAAACAAATAAATAATCCAAGTTAGGATACTAGTTAGCTAACTTTTTGGTCAAAATGTATAAAATAAAAGAAGAGGTGTCAATTCAAATTAGATTTGTTAAAAAAAGAGAAGAAAGAGAGAGAATTTTGAGGATCAGTCTTTGGTTTAGGAAGATATGAAAAGAGTCTAAAATGTATTTTCTCTTTGAGGATGAGTAATGTCAAATGATGGGCCATGTGAATGCTTAGCTCATGATTCTTTTGGGCCATGTAAATAATTCAATGTTGATTGTAACATAAAAGATAATAGGTTGGCAAAGGAGGAAGTAGGGAATTCAATGTTGATTCCCTAGGATTTCCCAAAAAATAAGAATGAGAAAACAAAAAAAGGAAATAAAAATAAAAAAAGAGAAAAAAAGAGGAAAAAAAGGGAAAGAGAATAGGAAAACCAAGAAACAAAGGGGTACAAGGGTTCTATGGAAGGAGCGAAACCTAAGCCCAATTCGTCCAAGGCTAAGAAAGCTTAGGCCTAAGTCCATATCAGCCCATCGCCAAGCTATAGAAGTGCCAAAGACGCTTAGGCCCAAGTCCATTTCCTTTAATACCCAGCTAAGCCTAGACTATTGTAACCTAAGAGCCTCAATTATGCCAAGCCCAAGTAAGTTTTGGCCCCAACCTATTTCACCCTAGCACTTAATTGGGATCAAGTCCCAACCCCATTACCACCTAGAAACCTAATTCGGCCTGGGCCTACATAAGCCCAAATATGACCCCATTCAATTTAAGGCCCAACCCAAATTCAAATAAATCTAGGTCCAAACCTATCTCCACTTAGTGCTTCACTAAGACCTAAGCCCATTCTATCGCAAGCCCGTTTCAGCCAAGGTTAGGAGGTCGTAGGCCCAAACCCATTTCTAATTAGAGCCTAACAAACCATAGGCCTCCAAACCAGTTTAGGCCCAAGCCCTAGACAAGGGCCCAACTTAGCCCAAAATCCAAGCAAACCTAGACCCAAGCCCACCCTAGCCTAGGGATCAACTTAGCCTAAAATCCAAGTAAGCCAAACCCAAGTCAATCCAAACTTAGGCCCCAACTTAACCCCAAATCTAAACAAGTTTAGATCTAAGATTGTTAGATAGTGTATGCCCTTCGATCCAATCAGATTGATATACATTAGACATTTATTGTAAATGAATAAAAATGCATAATTGATTCATGTTATATCTGGTATGTTTCTGTGTAATTACCCTTAAACTAGACATTTATGAGACTTGTGTTAGTTTAGAATGTTCTCAGTCATTGGATAAACCGGGGGAGGTTTATTCTGCGAAGGCTGACACTAATGTGCTACTAAGTCGGTTGGGGTAGGTTGTCTCAGCTGCTAGAGTTAGACCCGAAGCACATGTAGTGTGTGTCTGCTTGAAACATTGAACCCGGACCATTTTCCAGTTATGCCCTGGACCTTGGAGATTGGTGGGCAAAACTGGAAAGTTACACCTAACCCCTAGACTTTATTATGGCACTACACTGGGTGTTGGATTGGACTGTCTTAGTGGGAGTCAAAACCTGGGTATGTTGGAGCAGTCTGAGAATTCACTCGAGTGGGTGACATAGTGACAAGATCAGCCCCTTTGATGGACAAAGTGAATGATCGGGGACTGCACTCTCTCTGATGGAAACCAAAACTATCAGTAATCGATTTCAACCGTGTTTGAGATTTGTTTTGCAAAATATATTTATATGAATATATATATTATGTTTTATGAAAAAGGTTTGCAAGAGGTTTTAATTCTCGGGATCCATCCGAATAGAGAGAGTGCAACATTGTACCTTGCAGCCAAGGGAAAGGTCCTCTCTTGTCGGGTAGTGTTTGATCACTATGGGCTGAGAGGTTAAGTGTAAGACCATTTATGGCTTTTATACCTGATGGGCTAATCTCACTTAAGAAACATAGTCCTTAGGCCTTCATAAGGTGGTTGGACTCAATGGCCATTTAGTGTAAATGTTTGGGCCCATTAAGAGCCCATACTGATGGACTCAGGGGTTTGTTGTGTACAATAGTGAATTCAGCCAAGCCTTGTAACAAAGGCTAGGTTGAATCCATATGCCTTTTGTGAGATCAATGTTAGGGTCCTATCCCATACAAAGAGAGCCAAGTTAGCCAACAATTAAAAGGGGAGGTGAGCCCGC